CCAACTTTTTATATAATGTGTTATCAATTTCATAATCTATTTCTTGCATATTAAAATTACTACTACTTTCTAACCTTGAACCTAGAGTATTATGATTATTACAAAATTGTTTTGTATAAAATTCAAATATGTGCAATTTTATAACCAACATTTGTTTATTAATCTAGGTTATCAATAACATCTTGGCTTCTCCATACTCAAATTTATATAATCCTGAGAATATTTACCTGTCAAAAGATGGAGGTGGTGCTGGTAATATTTGGGCTTATGGGTTTTCGCAAGCAGAGAAAGTATGCGAAGATATATTTGAAATGATTGACCGCGAAGCAGATGGAAGTGATTCTCTAGAAGTATTATTATTTCTATTGTTGTTATTATTGTTTTTGTTGCTACTATTATTGTTATTATGAGCATTATTTGATATTCTAATTTTGAGCTATTTATGACAGGGATTCATGCTTCTTCATTCAATTGCCGGAGGAACAGGTTCGGGCATGGGATCATTCCTTCTGGAACGACTTAATGAGCGATATCCAAAAAAGTTGATACAAACATACTCCGTATTTCCTAATAATGAGGAGTTTTCTGATGTGGTTGTTCAACCATATAACAGTATATTAACTTTAAGAAGACTGACCAGTAATGCAGACTGTGTGGTGATTATCTCATCTATAACATTGTCTTGTGCATTAAAAAGGGAAATACTATATTTAGACTTTTCACAGAGTTTTGTATCTGATTATAGCTCCTGTAAATTACAAAAATAAATTTTATTAAAATTTGATTTTAGCTTGACTTGAATTATTGATCTAGTCTGTAGGAGTTTAGAAGCTTAACCAATAAGCTATAAGACCCAAACCATATATATAAAAAATTTTATTATAGTTAGAAAATATATCAAATTAAAAAATTAAATTCTAGAATAATCTATATATCGATTTTTATACTTGATTAGCTTTTATATATATTTTTGCAATTATTTTTTAGAAATTTTTTATTTATTTAATAAACAAATCACAAGTTATCTAAACAAATATTTTTTTTATATATAAATTTTACTATAAGCCCAAAAGTGTAGCACTTCTATTTAAAACTTTTTTTTGCTAAATAAATCACTCTTAGACTTATAACAAAAGTTTTAAAATTTATAAAAATTCATTTAATAGTAGTAAGAACTTTAAAATTAGCCTGGTAGTTCTTGAGAAATCTTTAAAAAACTTCTTGCTTATATATAAAATTTTTTTAAAAAAAATTAATTTTTTTTTAAAGAAATTTTATATTTGAGCAAAAGGTTTTTTAAAGATTTCTCAAGAATCACAAGCTGATTTTAATATTTTTACTACTATTAAATACATTTTGATGAGCTTTACAACCTTTTTTTTTTTTGAATATTAATAGTAAAACCATATCTTTGACTTTATTAAAATTTAATTTAATTCTTCTATAATGAAAAGAAAATTCTTATAAAGAAAAGAATTTATTTAAATTTTATATTCTAAGATAGCAAAAAAAGAAACTCAGACTAATTTATTTGTGGTCTAAACTAACTAGAGTGGCTATGGCTTATCTAGATTTGTAGATTAGTAATTATATAGTTTAAATTTATTTAATATTTGATCTATAAAAGATACTATAATACAATTTTAGTATTAGCTATAGTAAGTGGTAGGGGTTAAGAAGACTAAGAGGTAGAAAGAAATGAAATTAGTAGAAAAGGTATAGTATTATTAGAAGATTGAATTGAAAAACAAGAAATATAATAAGATATTCAGATATTGTGATAAATTTGTGAATTAAGATATAAAAGAAATTTAATAGTAGTAGTTGATGCTAATATAGCAGATAAAGTAATATTCTTAAATAGATTTATAATATTAAGAGAAACTAGCCCAAACAAAGTAGAGTTAATAGATGGAGTACATTGATTGTAATGAAGTATCATACTATCAAAATATTTGATTTGATTATGAATTGTAATAATTAATTCAAGTGAGATATTCAATGATATTGAGTTAATAATCTGTTGTAAAGAGTTATTAATAAGATTATGCAATAGTGCAGGTGATGGGCAGATAACCCAATATAGTGATATATTAATTTGATTGTATTGATAATAATTGGGTGAGATATGATGATTGTGTTTATATAATATATGAGAAATAGATAATTTATCAAGAAGAATTTTAATTTGAAATGATTTAAGAGAAGAAGATTGGAAGCTATATAAGAAATTTAAAATTTTTTGGTTGTTGTTAATATAATGCTAAGTAGCAGACCAGTTGATATGAGCAGCAATTCAAGACTATTATTGAAATCTGTACTAAGACTACAGAGTATAGATATATGAATAATATATAGTATAGATAGTACGTCAAGTTAGTAACTCTAGAGGGTATTCATCTAATTGAAAAGAATAGTTAAGATTGTAGATATTATAAAGTTTAAAAGTAAAAAAGTTAAAGGATATGGTGACTTAGTGAAGTAGTTAAGTTGTCGCACCTCTAAGTGATATGTTAGATAGATAGGAGGTTTGAAACCCACTGGTGATGAATTTCGAAAATTCTATCTGTACGATGGCTACTGTATCTGTTTAGTCAGTTGGAACGGGATTTCTGTAACCTTGGTAGCACCAACAGGATTGGAAGATCATGGGCATTTGTGTGATGTATAAGTTATATGAAAAAAAGTTTCGAATCGTGTTAACTCAAAGAACTGTAAAAAGATGACGGACGCTTGCTTGGCAATACCCGAGTAAAGAAGTAGCACAGATTTTTAACAATACTACTTAAAGGATTGTTACCGAAAGAACTAGCGAAACTAAACAGAACCGAAGTGTTTGGCAAGGCACTCCACCAACCAGGCTGCCGAGAGAGTAACTAGAGAAAAAGAACTCAACTGTGGGACCAGGGCAGGTCATAGCCCTTCCAGGCCATCTGGATTAGTAGTTTGGGATTGTTGAGATTAATCGGTGATAGTCTGTAAAGTGTATACTGGGGTTTGGGTGAACCCTACAAGGGCAGAAGTAGATAATGGTAGCAGCCTCGGCTCGCAAGTACTTGTTCTCAGACTTGGCATAAGTTACCGAAGTCTAGATTAGCCAGATTGTAGGTATAGAAAGCTCTAGCAGGTTTATCTTGAAGACAAAGAGCTTCTAATAGAGGTAGCCTGTCTTAAAGTTTTAAGCTAAGTATCTGAAAATAAGAGGTCCAAACTGAATTCTCGCTTAGTTAAAATAGGTTAACCCCATAAACGCAGAAGGTTTAAATAGATAACTCTCTAGTTAGGTTGCAGGTATGATATCTAGTGTAGAACTTGATGATAAGTGGACTACTTAAATAGGCAACCAAAAGTTGTACGTGTGGCTAGTATGTACTTTCCAAATATATATATGATATAGGCCTCCCGAAAGGTGGCTTATCATACAGTAAAGATTAACTAATAACTAAATAAAAGGAGACGGCCAAGAGGTCACTTTAATATCGAAAAAAAAAAAAAAGTAAAAAAGTCTGAGGTAAGGTGGCTATGAGCCAATTGGTCAACAAGATTATTAAATTGATCCTCTTGATATGCAATGACTTTGTAAAAAATAATTTGGTAGTTGTATGATTGAGTAAAGTTAATAAAGATATACTACAATATCAAGTATAGAGTATTTATAGCAGTAAAAGAGTGTAATAAATTTTAAAGGCTATTATATTTAAAAATAACAGATTGTAAGTCTGTAAAAATATAGATAATATAAGATCTAGATGTAGTGCTAATTGTTGATAGTATAGCAACAAATTCTACTTTAAAAAAGCATAGCCAGTATTTGATTTGCGCTTAAAATTTGCATAATATATTATTCTGATGAATTTGTATCTATCCAATACCCATAGAGTAGTCTTGTATACCAAAGTCTAAGACAGAGCTATCTGTATAAAAAGTAATTTTAGAAAGTTGAGTATTAGAATTGATATTAGTTTGAAATATATTAGTAAGAGATCCAGATTCAAATATAGATAGAATTGAAGCAAAGTTGTAAGGGATATTGGAAGTAGACGAGATATGAAGAAGATAACAAATTGCAATAGAATATATTTTTTTGTTTCTAAAGCAATCCTGTTTGCTTTATTTGTAAGAAGAAACCTTGATAGTATGAGGCATATACTAACTCTAGAGTCTATTATTCTCAAACCTTTAGCTAAACTATTCAAGCTAGCTATACAGTTGCCAAAGCTTCCACTTGCAGTCAGGGCAAACCATTAAACCGCTTATGCTTTATACTCAAGTCGATCTGCCTGAGCAAACCTTTGGCCTCCTTCAGAGGTCTGAAACTTGCTTCAGACTTTTTTCCTTCAGAATCCTTGCTAGCAGTTTGCGAATCTTGTCAAGATTCCCACCCTACAATAGAATACCACCAATCTAATAACACTTTCTCGTAGAGAAAGAAAAAAGAAAAAAAAATTTTAAACAAAAACAGAAAAGATGAAAAAACAAAAACAAATACATATACGAAAACAGGTACTAATATAAAAAGAATCTAAAAACTAATCTAAAAATCTATAAGAAACTATTGCTAGAATAAAAAAAACCTGCTAATCAGATAAAAACTTCATCTATACAGAGTAATGAACTACTCATATTGACTTGTTACAAGAAACTTGATATACCGAAAAAAAGAAAAACCAATATGCACTATAACTCATACTAGAGGATAAAAATTATATACATATGACTATAGAAATATCTGTATATCTTATTTCACTTTGCTTTTTCTTTCTGTAATAAATCTATATTGTTGTCCAAAAGTATATAAGAACTTTGAAGCTCCATGCCTATATCGCACATGTTTGTATATTTTAAAAACAGCACGCCACATAAGATACCCTTTCGGGTACCTGATCTCATTATTTCATTCGCCAGCACTGTCTATTTTACACATGTTGTTTTGTTATCGTATAGTTTTCTGATATAGAAGTAGTAAATATTATCAATCTTTGGTAGGGGTTTGCCGAATTTTCTACTTTTTGTTGAAAATTGTGGCCAAAGTATTGAAGAAGAAAAAAATATAGACCTTGCGAGTATCTAACTAAAGAATGTTTTTCTAATTGTTTTTGCCACCTTCTATTATCAAACAAATTTAGCTTTCCTTTTTACTTGCTGTTCCCAAAGACTTCTCCAGTTTGGATACCAAATACACAAGAGAGTCTACTCAAGACAAGAAGAAAAGAACCAAGATTTGATTCTTGTGCGAACCGTCCAAAATGTCTGCTCCTTGGTGTATCATATTAAAAGACTTCGTTGACAACAGTTTGTATCAAGAAAACCTAAGGTTGGTGTTGACTTTTGGTCTTGAGTCTTCAAATTGTATTCGGTGAATAGTTGGTACTTGCGATAGAATATATTAAAACTAAATAATTAGTATAAGGTTTAATAATTTTTTTTTGAGAGTTGTAAGTGCAAAAAAATCTAGATACTAAATTAATAGAAATAAATATTGTATATCTATTAGCAATAAGATTAGAATTGTGAGAACAGCTAGGATATATACTAAAATTAATAGGTTGAGTTAGGTATAATTTAGTAAATTGTAGTAAAAAAGAGCATTGCTATATGTAATAAGAACAAGGCCAGTGGGTAATCTGTCTTCTTGCTTTACTTATTATTATTTGGTTCTC